AAAATATAACCATGAATTCTTATTCCTGATCCAAGAGCACCAGATTTTGAGCATGCAGAGAGCACAGCAGCAACTGTGTATTCATTAGGCTTCAAGCCCTTCTCTAGCATCTCAAAATAGGTAGAAATGGCAGTTTCATAGTCGCCAGTTTGAGAAAACCCATTAATTAATGTTGTCCAAGACACCACATTTTTCTCTGGCATTAATTCAAAAAGCTGCTTGGCTCTGTTCAACTCGCCGTTATCAACATAACCCTTAATCAGAGTACTCCAAGATCCTGAATTTCTCTCAGGCATGGACCGAAAAAGTGTTGTAGCCATTTGCATATCCTTGGCTCGACAATACCCATTAACCAAAACATTCCATAGCAAAATACTCTCCTTCTTGATTCTATCAGGAGTTTCTTCGAACACTTGGAAGGCATGATTTAATTGTCCGGTCTTGGCGTACATATCAACCAAGGATACCCTGACGAAGGAATCACAGTCAACGAAATTCTTCAAAGTCGCGGCATGAAGAGCTCTACCCAACCATCTAAACCCTAATTTTGAATTAGACTTGAGTACAAACGGAAAAGTTAGCCGATCGGGTTTCACACCAAGCGTTAACATGAGAATGAAATGACGAACCGAACACTCGAAACGAGCATTCTCCGTCAAACCACGGATCAAAGCATTGAAAACAAAAGGATTCCTCTCTTCAGAATTTCTGAAAATCGAGAGGCTATAATCTGGGGACTTGAGAAGCGAAGAGCAAGATACCAGCTGAGCAGCGACGCGGCTACTGAGGACGCCGCGACGGAGGATATGGGCGTGAACAAGGCGGAGGCTTACGGTGTCTTTGCAGGTGTGAATCAGAGATATGAAGTGAGACTCGTCCGGTGAGGCTCGACGATCGGCCGGAAAATATATTTTGGCGGGCGAAGATTTCGGTTTAAAAAGAACATAAAGCGATTTCATCGGTACCCGAATACGCTCTCATATCAGTCATCAGATCTCGCGGTGCAAAGACTCTTATATATTGGCTAGTGGCTACTTATCTTAACCGTATTTCTCGATATCTATCAAACTGTTTCGAACCGGTTCAGACGAAAAGAGAATGGAACAAGAGGGATTAAACAGTAATTGAAGATCTTTTAGTTCTGCTCTCCGAATTTTTCACTTATTAAACAAAAACAAAAAGAATGTCACTAGACAGTATTATTCATGTTGATATCCGAATTTTTTTTTTATAGTTTCATAGATCTGACGCAAGAATAAGATGGCATCGATTTAAAGAACTCCAAAGAAGGGGTTGTTGATGGCGGAATTGAGCTCTGTTCCAGCTGAGTTTATGATGGCGGAATCGATCTTGTCTCTAGGCAAGAACAAGAACTCTCCTCCTTCAATTTTCTCAAACCCACATAGCTCCATGAACTCTATGCCTCCTCTCAGTGAACCAACCCTTTCCTGTTTATATTTTCATCCCAAGAACCATGACAGGTAAGAAACTCGACTATCATCATCGTTGTGCCTTCAATCAAATTTGTTGACTAATCAAATAAATCTAGATGCGCATTTTTATGGCAGATTGTTTACCTGAAATGTTTGATTGGTCAGTCTAATTTTCCGGAATTTTTCTTCATCTGGATTCTTAGCGACATTTCCCATGTAAGTCAGCAGAGTCTGGAACGCTCTCTTCACTTTAGCATCATCCTCCTGAACCAACAAGCAAAATTAATGTTATACTCAAAACTTTACTTGATCCTCCTTGAACCCTTTTTCCTTTTTTTCCTCGATTTCCAAAAGATTACTGTTGGGCTCATTGTTTCTTAGAACGTGTGGGTTGATATATGTTTAATGTATTTACCTTGTGGGTTTGTTTAAGGGACCTCAAGCATTCTCTCATTTGTTCAGTCTTTGTGGCCGGTCTAATTGGCAATGAAATCTGCCAAAAAAAAATGTCTATAAGAAAAAGCACAGAACAAGAGATGACAAAATATAACTAGATTTTGATTTTTTTTTTGTTTACCTTCTTCTCCTCCGCAACTGGCACCGAGGGTTTTGCAGCTGCAGTTGCAGGATCTTCCAGAGGCAATCCAAGTTTTCGCCTTCTTTCAGCCTGTTAAAATGTATATATGAGTCTTCAAGGTTTTCTGTTGAGAAATATAAATGTAATGAAAAACGTACGTAAATCTACTACATTAGAGATACCTTGTCTTCTTCAAGCTTTTGACGGATCTTTTCCCTAGCCCGTTTTTCTTCTTCTTTCTCGGCTTTACGCAAAAACATTAGACTGAAACACAAAAACAATAAGTAGTCATTTTATTACACAAAAACAAAAATAAGAATACAGCTGATAAGCCTGACATTATAACCAGAAAGACGAACCGTTTCCTTTCGTTTACTTCTTCCATCCGCTTTGCTTCTAAGAGTTCCTTGCCAATCCTAATTCGCTCCTGAGCCAATACCAACATGTTAAAAGATGATAACAAAGAAGTGCTTACAGTTTCAGCAATGACACAATATGTTTCTAACACATACTACAAGCACCTAATTAAGTTATTTTAGATAACACAATTAAAAAAGGATCAGAGACAGAAAACCTTCTCTCTTTCACGTTCCATCCGTTTCTCTTCCTCTTCTTTCTTCTTCCGCGCACGTTCCCTGAGATATGGAATAACGAATATAAATTGAAGTGTAGACATTTTCATGGTCTAGGTTATGCATGATAAAAGTGTAGTGTCAATATGTCATTGGTGCACGCTATAAAAGGAAACAAATAGGGACAGTAAAACAGAATACTCATCGAACCTTAATTCTTGTGCTTTTAGCTTCACTTCTTCTGGCGTAAGAGCAGGTTTGGCAGGCCCAACATTGGAGTTGGCAGGCACCTAGGCAACAGTCAACAACATAGAAATAACAGTAAGGGAAACAATGGAGTAATTTTAAGACCACATATATGCCTAATACAACAAGATAGTTGAAAGATGAAATATACAGAAAATTTTGACCTCAAAATTGTCGCATCAAGCAAAAAAAAAAACACTTTTCACGTTGAGACAAGAACTAAAAATCGGGATTTGGAGTGCAATTATCAAGAAACAAAACAGTCCAGAACAGACATTCTGCTGAAAAGTAACAATTGACAAAACACCCACCTTTGGCATTTCATCTACGTCAGGATCATTCTCATGCTCCACCACCCAATTAACTGCAGCCTCGAGACTGGCATTACCTGAAGGAATGAATTTCAAAATGTGTAAAAGAATTTCGAGATTCAGATGACATCTGAACAAAGATTAAGAAAGAGATAAAGAGAAGAGAAGAAGGAGATCTAATTGAACACAATGAGATAGATGACAGTTTCTATATCAATCCAGAGTTCAAAAAGAAAAGACGTGAACAAGAGCTCAGTTGCACACAATCAAGCTTTAAACGCTATTCACAAAGCATAACATTTAATCAATAAGCTACTCCCTGATTCCCTATTGTGACCAGTGGCCATAAATTTTGGAGCTGTTATGCATATGACCATGTTACACTTCAGATAATTCTTAGAGGAGATATGAAACCTACGTGAACCAAAGATTATAATAGGAGCCCACAACCAAAAATTAGATTTATACCAGAGTAATGGAGTGCTCGGGTAGCACGAGCTTTAGGGAAGCCCATCGCTTCAAGTTCCTCGAGAATGTTATTGTCAACGTCTGGAACAACCATCTCTGCAGAGTGACCATAAGAAATAGCGTTAAAGTCACATTCAGAAACTCATGCAATACATATACATTAACATGGCACTGTACCTTCAGCAGCCTCTCCACTACCACTAGCATTATCGTCAATCTCCATAGCAACCTTAGGAGCTTCCAAGGTGATGGGTTTTACCGTCTCCAATGTCTTATCTACAAACTCAGTATGCCCTGTTCTTTTCGTGTGCAAATCGCTTTCCTTCACATTGTATAAGAACGAGACAAGCAATCAGAAATAATCAAAATACTAGAGCATAGTTCCGTTCCAGTCAATGGACATAGTAGAAACAGTTCCTTGACTCTAAGGCAAATCAATACAGTAGTCAAGAAACTCTTACCAAATTGCAGAAACCAAAGTACACAAGCAATCAAACCAAGGAACTCAATTCAACCAGACAAACAAAAAAACGAATGAAGCATCCAGAAAGCCCAAAAGGATTGAGATCTGAAAACCAAGAATAGGGCTATGCGGAGTAAAACTTTTAACTTCACGCTCTAATTAACACCAATCAGCGGGAAACACATGAAACAGACTGAATTTCATTCAAAACTCAAGTCAAAACCTATCAACTCGAAACCACAGAGCCAGTAAAAGGTTGCAATAGTAGCATAAAATCGAGATCACAGAGTCAAAACCGTTTAAAGAACGAAGAAACATCGAAATTACATGTATTAAACTAGAAATCATGAGATCTGCTTGTAACTTTCTAACCACCACCAACCAAAAGCCAACTAAAATTCATCAAGAACAAAAAAAAGATAGAGAGCGATGAGAATCAAAGATCCGTACGGTTTTAGAGCGACAAGGCTTGCTGCAAGTAGTACAAACGAGATTGAGCACGGCCTCAGTGGACTCGGCGAAATTGGAGTGAGAGGTGAGCTCGGCGTGCTCCTGAGCCTCCTCCACGGACTTCAGCAGCGTCCCACAATCGCCACACTTGAGCGATACTCCTGCCATGGCTACAATCTCTCTCGACTTGGTTTCACAGACTCGAGACTCGATTGTCTTTCTTTCCCTTCCCTTAAATGGGGAAGTCCGTTCGTTGCTTGTGGAGAGAGGAAGACGTAGGGTCGGTTCAATCGTTTCCAGTACCGCCGGTTCAGTTGTTTCCGGTTCTCACATTGGAGTAAATTGATTCCATCGGTTAAGATTCGGTACGCAGTTAACGGTTTGGTAACCGGAACTTCTGTTAAGATCACACCAGTTTGAACCGGACGATCCAAATTGTACGAAATAGAACCAACTCATTTTTTTTTGTATATGGAAAAATAGAATGTAACTCATTTGAGAGGCTCAAATATTTTCAGACATGTTTCTGATACATATAATGAAATTTTCATGACTCCAAAATACAATAAGAAAAAACAAAATTAATGGTATTTGATCTAATGTGATCGTCAAAAACTTTCCCAGCACAAGCTGTAGGGAAGAAGATCAAAACTGGTTTTCTTCTTTCCTTTTTCAGTATAATGGAAACAAAATCATTTCTCAGTCTTGTGAGATGATCCGTTCATAGAACAAGATATAAGCTTCAGAATGCAGAACCTTTTCCAATGAAACCTGACGAACATGTGCATCGCTTACGTTATACCACACAGTGGATGAGGAATCACTCTCTTTCACTCGCTGACCTCCTCTAACATATGCCACATAATGACCTCCTCTCATCGTCCCTGAATGCTCCACCAATCCAGCCAGTCTGTAAACGGGTGGGTCTTCTCCGCTAAACCTGAAAGAACCAAAAGATTGAAGAATTAGTTTCATGGAGATTTAGGTAAAAGACAGATCAAAATGTGGTTATATAGAAGAAGATGAGAGATGATGATACCTTGTGTCCATATATTGTCCAAGATCGATGACCTCTTGGAAAGCAACATGACCATTTAACTTACTTAGCCTACCACGCAAATCTTGGCTGAATCGCTTTAGATGAATGGTTAGGACAGGTGGGGCTTTGTTTATAAGTACTCTTTTACTTGCATCTCTCTTCACTGTGATCACTTTCTCAGAATCTTCGTCTTCATCTTGAGTTCCTTTGGATTCACTTTCATCAGCTGAGTGAGACCTCGTAGCTTTTCTCCCATTAGAGCTATGATCCTTGACACAACAAGTATCATTTGGATCTTGTTTAACAGCCAAAATATCAGTTTCTCCAAAACCTTCACTTTCATTTTCTTTCACCCATCCGTTGCTTGTGTTGCTTGATCTCGATTCATCTTTCTTGGATTTTTGCTTTTCTCTCAACCGTTGGAGTTTCAGGTTCTTTGAACAGTTCTCGCAGTGCCAAGCATTGTCATCCGACAATATCTCAGGCTTTGTGAAATGAGCCAAACACCTTTCTACAGACACCGGTGAATCCGAATCATCGATTTCTTCAGGATCAGACTCGCTGCTGAACGCCATAATACCAACTCCCGAAGCTTCAGCCTTGGAAGGAGGTCCAAAGACAGGTCCTTCGGTAGTCTCGGGCTCATCAAATAAACCGCCAAAATCAACAAAATCACTGTTTTGTGGTTCATGATCACCAGTACCAAATGAAGATGAAGCTTCAAACTCACCTTCCGCAACTGATTTATCATTACAGGATATTTCGTTGTATGGCATGTACAGAATTTGCGAATCTCCAACCACCAAAGGAAGCTCTTCCTCGTCCCAAGGATTCACCGAGGAAGAACTTTCCCCTATACCAGGATCACAACTGATGCAACTAGCTTGAATGAATTCAGCAGAAATACCGCTCGTAACTGGGCCTTCATCAGACTGCATAGCTTGTACATTGTCTTGCATCAGCCTCTCTGTGTTACATTCCAAACTCTGATCACCCTCAGTTGTAGAGACATTATCAGTACCATCTTCTTGCATATCCAAATTCGTCTCATCTCCAGAGTTTTCTGGTCCAATAATATCCAACCAGAAGCTATCAAAACCAGTATCACTTTGTGTTACACTTTCTGAGGCCTGCTTATTGTCAGCGGTTAGAACTGAAAGAGTCTCTAAAACCGGACCATTATCAAGGGGTGCAAAACTAGAACACGATGTGTCTGAATCAGCTATGACAACCAAAGCTTTTCCCGGAGAATTCAGTTCTGAAAGAGCCTTACTTGGGAGAACATTTGAAACCTTACTTACTTTTGACACATTCTTAGGGACTCTTTTTGGTGGAAGCTTAGCTTTTCTTGCTCGAGAAACAGGTTGTAGCTTTTTAGGAGGGCTTTTCTTGAATGGTACGGGTAAGGAGAGATCCAAAAACGGCTCATAGACTTTTGACGAATGCCCGCACTCCATACAACGAACAATGCTCGACGTTTCCCCTCCAAATACAGAATCTATGAGTGTAGTAGATTTCTCATCATTATCAGAAATACCACGCTTCTTTCTCAAAGCCGATTCTTCGGTGCTTAACGCATCTAGCAAACAGCGTAGCAACTCGTGGCTATCATGCTGGTCATATCCACGAAACTGGGGTGCCTTAGAACAGAAAGACCCAAAAAAGACTCTAGGATTTATCACACTCTTCAAGCCTGCCTCTGGTTTCGTTTCAGCGAATAATTTCCTCAGGGAAGACGCAAGAGGCCTACCGGCCCCAGACCCATTCTCCTTCAAGAAGTGATCGCGTAACCGATCCAAAGAAAGAAGATTTTGCATTATCGAATTAAAGAAACATGTGTTCCCAAGGTTAACTAAACCTCGCACAACATAACCCTCTCTTGCTTCTATATCACTGGTCACAGCAGCACCTTCTAATTTGATATCACTAGTGATACTGCCACTTACTGAGCACTGATCTTCGATATCAGATGAAGCTAAATTGTTCAAAGATCGTCCTTTAATCAATTTAACAACCTCAGACAGCACATCTTTCTTCTCACCATTATCTTCTTTTACAACAGGGAGAAGCGAACGGCACGGGAAACACCATCTTAACTGAGGATTTTCCCATTGAATCACCAATCGGTGACGCGTCACTCTGGTATGCCTCAAAACATGACTCTGAGCTCCATTTGGTAAACCAACACCTCCACAAACATAACAGCCACATTCCAAACATAGCCAAATGGCTTTTTTATCAGATGAAGAAAAATCTTTTTTCCCCTTATTGCCCTTTGCTTTAGTTCCTCTCTTACCAGACAATCCTTCCTTGCATTCTTCACACTTAATTTGCCTGGAAGACTTAATCTTATCCAACACTTTCTCCAAATTAAGACCCTTATCAAAATGCACACAAGCTTGTGTCTCCTTAACTGGTTTAACGTCACCCTCAGCTATTTCTCCGGCTTGACTAGGCGGCTCTTCAGAGACCTTCATGGAAATTTCTGTGGTCTGAATCTCCTTTGTTGGAGCTCGGGCCTTCTTCTTCGCTTTCTTCCCCATCAGTTACTGTAATGGAATTTAAAACCAGGACAAGGAGAGTAAGTTATTAAAGTTGTTACAAAATCTACATAATCAAATACAACTAAGCAAAACTCAAACTCAGATGAAGCAACGAAGCGGATACCAATAGATAAACCTTGGAAATATCACCAAAGCACAGATAAAGACAACAGGAAACTAATCCACATCAACGCATATATGGTATAACTGGAACAGAGAAGTTTCAAAATCGAGCCTGCCCATTTCAATTGCAGGATTCTAAGAAGTACCAACAAAGAAATAATCCGACTTTGTAATGACTAGTACTAAAAGATCCAGAATTCAAAATCTAGGCATCGAAATAACTCAGATTAAGATTCCATATCATAGTTCAACTAAGCCTGACCCCTAACGCAATCGGGAACAAAAAAAAACAAGTATAGCTGAAAACAATCGTATGAAAGCAAAAGCAGAATCCAGAGATTTTACCCACAAAAACCCAAAGATTGCTGCTTAGGAGGATATTCACATGAAAAGGATTGAAGAAGAATCGATACTCGAAGAATTGGGATCTAGACTAATCAAATGGTTTAGACGGAGAGAGAGATAGGTGTTATCAGTGCGTGCTTCGTTGTTTCTGCCGCCGTCAAAAGGAGGAGACAGAGAGTCCGACGAAACAATGTGAAATAATCGCTCCGAAAGAGGGGCAGACAAAGGGGCTAGTGTGACATAGGCTCCCAAATTATTTTGGTACATTTACTCAAAAAAATCTTCAAACATTTAGTTAGGTATTATTTAAAACTATAGTAAGTTTTTTTCAGACATTAACAATTATTCTAAACCTCTTAAAAATGTTCAAAAAAGTTAACAATCTTGAGAGAAAAAAATCTCTAAGAATATATTAATACCTAAGAAATAAGGATAAAAAAAAAATAAAAAAAAAATTGATGTTTAATCAATACCACATAATATGACCAAAAACAATAAGCAAATATTATAACATATTACATCAAATCAAACCCATATAAAATCATTTGAAAATTGGTATCAATCTCGGGTAAGATCAGAAGCAACAAAACATTACATTTGGGTTCATGCATGGGATACAAGAACCAGCAATCCCCAAGGAAAGCTTCTGTATAAATCAATCACTCTATGAAGTAAGTCTTCTTGAAAGATTCTTTGGGGTTACCAGATGACTCTTTTATTTCACATTTAAGCTCAATCTCCATTAGTCTGTGATTTTCCTTGGACCGGCTCATTACCAAACCAAGATTCAGATTATCACCTTCCTCAACATTTATAGGATTCGACATAATGAAAACCTGCCAGATTCAGAATCATAACATGGAAATTAGCTAGCGTTTGAAACAATCGAAGCCTTAATCATCATAGACCAGAGACTGGGGGGTAACATACCTGTTGTCCCCAGTGCGTGCAGTGCTGCTCACTTGGAGCTGTTGTCAACTCGATTTCTTGCTGTGCGGGGTCTTCTTTTCTCCCCTAGACAGTTACAAAAACAAACAAGCAACGAGTTAGTATAAGAGTTTCTTCAACATGATGCAACAATGTAATCTGTACAAACTAACCAAGAACTGAACATCAAACCATCCACCAAAACCACATAGCCTTGTGTGCTCCACATTGATGACTGACGATACGTTTGATCTGACTTCCTCAATTTCACTGACAGAGGCTGTCAAACAATCCATCTCTTTTACAATTGTAGGGGTGCCGATGATTTGTTGTGGATTCAAGTCATTCCACATAGCCGTCTGTGCACAAAAGACAAATTTTATGAGTTTCCATAAAATGACAGAGGAAACAGTTTGTAAGTCAATTTGTTAGTTGTTCAACTGTCTGCTAAGGAAAATATCTACAGATAAATTAAAACTGCAACAAGAGGAGTTCTGAAATCACCTGTATGTAATACTTTTCTTGCTCTTCAGCAAAAGGTTTTGTTAAAACTCCCATATCAACCCCATAGTAACTTTTGATCTCATCCGAAAAGTTATGCCAGTCTGCCATTGCCCCATCGAAATCATTCCTCTTCCGATCTGCCATATTGGATTTGATGGGTGCAAGCCACATGCGAGCATGACTAGGGTACCTATTGGATACAAAGGTTATTTGTAATGCTTAGATACACACAGTACCAACATCAATATTATTAGCAACATGACCTCACAACTTATGCATGAAATTTGATAAGAAATAATGTAACTGGCATTGGAGGAAAACATTATGCTATCAAGATGTTAAAAGTACAGCTACAACAGCGTTAAACTCTCAAGTGCCATAGGCTCATAACTCATAAGTAACGATCATGCATCATTAAATTGTAATGTTCAATAAAGAATAGAAATAAAATAACAGAAATCCCACTTACATGACACCTGTTGGCTTTAACCATCGGTCACGAGCACTAATCACAGAATCAAACATGGACTCTCGCAGAAGGAAGTATCCCATCCACTCCGAGATAATTACATCAACTGCCCAATAAATTGAATACGTAGATATTAGCGCAATCTCGAGTAGAGTACAAATAATCAGAAGAAACATGTTCAACTCAACCAAATTGCAATGTCTCAATGTATAGCCACTAAGTTAAACCCTGATTTTTGAATCCGTAGCTTTAACCAAAACTCTTACAATGTCACTTTTTAGGCTTCTGAAATCAAGTAACAGTAGGCTCACTTAACAAAAGACTTAGTTATTTCCTTACTCTCTCTACTTGCAAATAAGCATGATACACTAATATGTTCTCATTGCAGTGAAAGAGAAAAAGAAAAAGAGAAACTGAATACCTTTCTCAGGCAATGAAATATCTTCGACAGACCCTTCAATGACTTCAACAATATGGTCAAGGTTATTGGCTTTGACAAGGGCACGAGCATGATCAGCCATTTTAGTAGCTTCAACGGCATAAACCTTCCTGGCACCAGCTTGAGCTGACCAAATTGCAAGAATTCCACTCCCGGTGCCCACGTCTAAGACCGTCTTCATCACATTACAAAAACAAAAATTCAAACTATTAATACCACAAGAAAGACAGAGAGACCAATGGGTATAACTTAGCAATAGATAATCTTTAGACCAAAATCATACAAATAGAAAGTGGTCCAGCACTTATGAAGCTCAAAGATGTGAACTTTATTATTATACCTTGCCCTCAAAGTGATGTTTGTTCTGGAAGACGGCATTGAAGTAAGCATCCATACGGACACGGTCGGAGAGCATATCCTTCTGGTGGTAGAGGAAGGAGTAAGTACAGAAGTACTGAGCGTAGTCGACTTCTTTGTCAACTGGAGCCGACGGTCCTCCTCCGCCGTTTTGGGAGCTTCTCATCTTTTGCTTACACACTTGTTCTTGCAAAGTAATGCTTTTGACTGCGGCAAAAATCAAAACTTTGTTCCCTTTAATTGGAAAGCTGAAGTGAGAGCTGCTTGAGTTTTTCAGACGGCGACGGACAAAGTTCGGAAACTTAGGGTTCCTTTTATAAACCAATCAATTAAAGTCTCCCTCCGCTTTCAAAATCATATTACAGGGATTACTTCTTTAGGCCCATTTACATTCTAAGCCCAATTTTATACGGCCCTTTCAGATTTTAAGTCACCAATTTACAGGAGAAGCACGAGAGAGTAAACCGATATCCCATTAATAATGAAAAAAAAAAAACTCTTGTATGCCCAATAGAAAATTAACATTCCAAAAAGACCAACCAAATGTTATAACCATAAACTTGCATTGTTTCTGAAGAAAAAATCCAAAATAAAATAAAAAAACAAACCACAGTACTAAGACCAAAAAGGCATAATCTTGTGCCAAAAGTAAGGTATCTGAAGCCCTATCCTCTCTCTAACCTTTACCTATGGAACACGAAAACTGGCAACTCGAATAAGAAATAAGAGAAGAATCTTCAGTTCTGCTCAGCAGTCACCGCCACAGTCGGCTCATCGGCTTTCTTCAGTGGAGATGTTTCCATCACAACATCGCCGTTATTATCCTTAGGAGCCATCACTATCTCAGTCGGATTAGGGTTTAGGTTTGGACCTGAGGGATTCGGAGATGGCTCTTCCAATTCAGGATCAGTTTCTATGCTCTGATCATCACGTGGCTCGCTTTCGCCTGAGGAACCACTTGAATCACCTTCTTCCTCATCTTCTTCGACTTCGTCTATTGGAAGATCAGCTTCAGCCATGTCTACGTTTTGCTCCGGAAGTCTCTGTTGCAGCGGAACAGCGTTGCTTATGAGCTGTCCAGTCCTTTGCTTCTCTCTGTAATCTTCCATTTCAGTTCTGTATCGCTCTTTGTCCTCTATTGCCTTCCCTTGGTAAACCTAGAAATGAGAGGAAATCAAACAGATCATGAGACAAAAACTCGAGATACTTCACAGAGTTTGATAAGAATTCAAAGATCAGAGTGTGTGAAATACCAATTTTTCATCTTCATTCAGCTTGTTCCATAGCTCACCAATTATCCTGCTGATATCCCTATCCTTACCAGGATGAAGCGGTTTCAGCCTCGCGTGCTGCTCTGCGAAAAAGAAGTTATAACCACTTCTGTTGGGTTTTGGATGATTAGGATCACGTCTTTTAATCTCTGATTTCTTTCTTCTCCTACGGCGTTTTGTTACTCCTCCCATAACCCCCTGGGGATTGGCAGAATTGTTCCAAGTGTTGGGGACGACACCATGACTCTGTTGCGGAGTTTGATGAGCAACTGTGTTCTGAGGAAGAAGCTGAAACAGAACTCCTTTAAGCTGCTCTGATCCAATTGTTACAGTTACAAGGTAACCACTTTCGAATTTTCCATCGATCACTCCAATCACATTTGATCCAGCAACAGGTCCTGAAACAATAACATCAAAAGACAAAAAAGGGTTTTACTCAGATTTGTAAGTCACAGTTACTCAGTTGGAACATTTACAAAAACAAAGAGAGAAAAAGTTGAGACCTCCGGGGAACTCTTCAGAATTGATCTTGGGCTGTGGGGTAAAGGTTAGAGCTTGAAGTTCTTGTGAAGGTCTAATGGCTCCGTGCATAAGGCCTGGTCTAGCAGATGGGATCTGTAGAGAGTCTACAGAAGATATGTGTGTTACAAAACAGAGAAGAAACTGAAAGATATTTGAAATTTTGGTAAAATAGTAAACAGGTTTTAATGAACAAACCTGGAGGAATCTGGCCACTGGATCTGAAGAAATAGATTTGCTCATAATTGTTCAGCAGCGAGAAGTAGTATTTGCGCAAAACATACGATGCGTTTGTTGCCGTTGGAGGAAAGACAAATGTAGCAGTTACTTCTTTCCATCTCCTTTCATTAAGTATCTGCAATTCAAAGAAGGAACATGATCGAAGGACAAAGGTCAATATAGATTTCAAGATTTTAGAACAAAAGAAACTTTATGAGATACATAGAAAACAGACAATACATATAGCATGGAATTAATATGTCATTGAGAGGAGAGGACATACCTTATTGATTCCACCACGAGAGGTTACCTCAACGAAAAGCTTGTGCAAGTCCAAATCTCTTCCTCCTATGATTGGAACCCTATAATCACCAATGCAATATGTAGAATGGTTAAAGCTATAAGCTATAAAGTACTGCAACCAAATCCAAACATCAATCAGTCTCATATAAAAGTTACAATACATTATCAAAGAAGCAAAAGGAACACAAAAGAATAATACCCTACTTTTAATACACATACTATTGACAGACAATCTTATTCATTGGTAACTGGTAAAACATGAAACTTTTGTAGTTCAAGGTGAAAACACAAAGCATGAATCATTATCAACCCAAACGCTCAAATCTAAAAGATGGAGGCTTTCTGAACACAAATTTCTATCAGAGCCAACAACAGATAACAACTGAACTTACTCTACTGAGTAAAAACTGATAAGGGGAAAAAGAAGCTTACATGAATTTAGTACCCAAGAGAGAGTGCAGCCTTTCCAAGGAAGACATGAAAAGCCTAGGGTCTGCAACCACAGCCTCATACGTTGCTTCAGGGGTAACACAAACATTGTTCATTGGCACTGACCCTTGCTTGAGACAAGAGCTTGATGCCATTCCTAACACAGCCGAAAAACAAAACAAAAATACAAAAAGGTAAGCACTTTAAGATCATTTACGCTCTTTAACAACCACTAAACCTTCTTCAGCATTTACTATCAATCCGGCTTATTAATACAACAAAAGTCAGAGACTTTAAGGCTCTACACATCAGATCAGAGTGTAATTAACCATCTTCCATCAAACAGAAACTCAAAGATACACAGGAGTTCAATTTAAAAATATTATCCACAAAGATTCAAATGAAGAAAAACTTAAAGGAGCAAGAAAACAAGAGATTGCAAAGTCCAAGAAAATAAACAAGAAAGGCTTTAAGGAAAAAGCTGAAAAGCCCCTTCATGAATTCATCTCCTCTCTCTGTTTCTTCTACGCAGAACAAAAACTTAATACGACAGATTGCCATTAAATGTAAAAGGACTTGTGCTACAAAAGCAACCACACTCTAAGGAATCATAACAAAGACACATCTTTTTCAACCAATCGCTCTCTCTCTCTCGCTCTGAGAAAAAAGAGGGAATTTTTGCGCCGGCAACGTATTTTAGCCTGAGATTTGAAGGAACATAAACCAAGAAAACCCCTCGAACAGGCATATTAACAAATACATTACAGGCATCAATTGAGAATTCAATGCCCAACAACAACTTTCTTCAAAGAAGCCATTAATTCTCTGTTTATATGACCACACAACGAAAAGCCCGATTCTCGATAGATACAACAGAGAAAGCATTTTGGGGTTTCCCGCGAGACAACAACAAGAAGAAGCAGCAAAAGCCCAGACGACGAAAAAGAAATGATGATGAAATAATAAGAGAAGATTTAAAAGAAATGAACGAAAAGTTGTCACCTTTGCTAACCATTTACCCTTGAATATTCATAAAAATGAAAGCTTTGGTTTCTTCTCTTTAATGGTGGTGAAAGAGTAGTGCATATAAGAGAGAATATAATGGAGGGACGCGTACGTTGATGCGTATGTATGAATGAATGAATTGTGTAAATGAGGATCCCAGATGAAAGATTATAAATAACAGATGGGGTGGCTATAAAATAGGTCAAATTTTTTATATATTTTTTCAAAGGGTGAGAGAGAATTGAGCTATATAAGAAAATAATGCAAAAATATGAGGAAGATAAGAAAGAAGAACAAATTATATCAATTTTAAGGAAGAAAACAATTTTCTATTTTAATGCAAATTTAGATCTTGAAGATTGACCACAGATTATAAAATTTTGAAATTGATTTTTGTATTTTAATATTTTGTTTTTGATAAATATAGTTTAATGAGTTTATTGAAACCAAATTTTTTTCTATTTTTATACATTTGTTTTATATTTATTTTGTCGTATTCGGTTGTAACCGTTATTTACAGGTGGACCGGAAAATTACAAACTATAATTTGAATCAACGGTTTTATCGAATAAGTTAAGAAACATATAAGGAAACATATACAAAAAATTTTCATATTATATATCATTTAATATTTTTAAAAATATTGGATATTTTTCTATTTTTATACAAAAATATGATAATAGTTTTATATTTATTTTGTCGTATTCGTCTTTAACTTTTATTTATGAGTGGACTGGAAAAATTAACAACTGTAAAAATTAAGTTTATAACAAATTATTATTATTATATGTTTAACTTTTTATGTAAATGGGAAATAAGAAAAAGAAAGGAGTGAGGGAGTGGAACACTATACTAACGGCATTTTTTCTTTTCTTTTTTCACTATATACTAAAAAGATATATTAATTACACGTTCATGTGATTTTCATTTTTCAATATATGGGAATAAATGATTATATACGCTGAATATATGTTGTCAAGAACATGTGTAACCGTATAATTTCAAAAAGAGGAGATTTAATAAATTGAGATATCAATTTGTTTATGATACAACAAATACTTATTTTAGACATTAAAAAAGTTTGACTTGGCACCTTTCGTTATATTGTTTACTAGTTTAACATATTCAACCATCATATCGTTTATAGATGTTAAAAAAGAAAAAACACCATATCGGTAGTAAAGGTTAAATACTTAACAAACAAAAAAAAAGGAATGTTACAAAATATAAAAATAAAAAGGAAATGTATGCTAAACTCATTTGGTTAACGAAAGCAGATGTTGTAAACGACGAGCTATGACCTATTAAAATAAATTTAATTTATTTGTTAAATTCTAGCCGTCTATTATCATGTTTGTAAGTAAATGTAATTACTAAAAACCACTTGTGAGTATTATTTGTTTTAAATCAAACAAATAAAACTTGATAATAATAAAATAAATGATAATAATAACATGAGTTACAAAAAATGATGATAATGATGATAATAGAAATAATTTGTCAATTGCTTTTTGAAATCTGTCTTTTATCTAAAAGTGATCAAGTGATGGATAGAAAGTTCAAAAAGTGTATGACGATATTTTATTGGTTATATATCTCATTTTTGTAGTATTTAGTTTATCAATCATCCTTTATATATATAAAAAAAAATCTTAACTAATGATATTTACTTACATTTTAAAAAGTAAAGTGAAGATAATCTAAGGAATAAGATGATATTAATTAATTATATGACTTTCTCCGCATTTTTCATTTGTATATAATGAAGTAATTAGTATTGGAGGATATCATCATATACACAAGAATAATTCAAATCCTAGAAGATTCACTATCTCAACAATCTGTAAAATATATTTTACATACATTTTTTTTTATATACCCGATCGGCTGATCCGCTCAGCCTCGGTAGAAACGCACCAGAGTGCTACAGAGTGGACTCACTACCACCCCGAAGGATGGGCTACCACACTGCCTGAACCGAGTTTGGAATGCTTTCCGACTAATGCCCGGGGGTAGCTGGATCGCCTGTTACCAGACTACCAGGTAAACTGCCTGGGCCGAAGCCCAAGCCCAGACTTCCCAACAAAGTGTTGATAACAGCGAGGGAGGAAGATCGAACCCGGGTTCGGGATTTCACCCTCAACTCCGGACTCGCCCTACCACTCGCTCACCACCTTGCGGGCATATTTTATTACATTATCCCCGATCTTACATACATTCAAAATAAAATTCAATCCATTAATGGATAATTGATAACGGTTATATTTTATATCGGTCAATTGACAAGCTTCATTTTTTTAAAAAAAAGAGGTTAAAATATTGTTAGACATGTGATATTACACTAAAATTAACAAAGATATTACACTAAAATTATGTAGTCTATTTTCATCAACAAGATATTCACAAAATATCTTTCAATCGTTTTATTTGGATGTTGTTGCATGACTTTTTCAATGTAGCTTAATTAGATTTAATTTGAAAAGAAGACATGTAAATAGTTTTCTTCAAATTTTATTGCAGTAATTAATATTTGATTCACTAAGTCGAATAAATTGTTTTGCCCACGGTTGTGATTCAAACCCGAAGATCAACAAAAAATGTATACACGAAACTGCGGAAAGAAACGAAATATATAATACACCAAACCTACACAAGAATTATTGTCGATATAAACGAACAAAAAGCAAGCAAACAAATGTACACATGCATGTGTGTATTTTCTATACACAAAGACCGCAAAGAAGTTTGAAAAACAAGAGAAATACATCCCAAAGGGTTGACTTGCGATCCAAGCATTCTCTACAGGGATGGCTCGAAAGTAACCGGATACTGTATCCTATACATACACAACATGTATGTATCTACGTGCATAAAATTAAAAAGGCTTCAGGAAGAGTGAAGGTCCATGGAAGAAGATCTTCTCCAACTTCGCCTCTCTGACGTAGCCCTAACCTAAAAGACACGCAATATAATAAAAGTCTCAGTCAGATATTTACGTAATATCATTTTCATGTATGTATCAGTTTTAAACCTTTGATGGTAAAGGAGGCAAAGATGCTCGTCTCGTAAGCTCCTCTCTTTCCTCTTGAACAGCCTTTAATCTTTCTCTTAACAATTCCACTTCATTCTCAATCTTTAACCTCTCATAATCAACCGCAGACATTGATTTTCTCCTTGAACCTGAAGAGCTCAGAGACTTCTTGCGTGGACGACATAATGGAGGAAGCTTTCGAGCAATCCCCGAGACAATGATACTATTTTCCTCCAACGATTCTTTAGGTTTGCTAACAGAGGATTCTTCTAGGTTCTTCTTCTTACTAATGTTATCTGTTTCATCCTTCACCATATAAACATCACGTACGCGTGAATAAGCGACTTCTGAATCTGATTTATACAGATCTCTGCTTTTATCTCTGTTTTCTTCTTCTCTATAAGGCATATCAAGAACCGTTCCATCAAGTTCTTGAACGAGCAAAGCTCTTCTCTCTTGAGAATCTTGATTTTGTTTGTGTTCCGGTTCTGGAACATTCTTCTCTTTTGTTAAAGAACATTCCAATTCCTCTGTTTCCTCGAGTAGTTGTCTATAAGCTTCAACTTCTTTCTCCAAGAAATGTTTTTCCCTCTCACGCCGTATCAAAATGTCTTTGAGTATGACCATCTCTTCAGCATCAAAAGTCGATTTCTCTTCAACCATTCTCTGGAATTGCCTCGCTTCCATTTCAATAGCCGCCTTCTCATCTTGCAGCCTATGTATCATCGCCATTGCTTCATCCGCTGCGGATGCTGCAGCGTTTCTCTCTTTGTCAAGCTCAACGCAAACCGCTGCTCGAGCAGCTCGCTCTTCTTTCAATAATTCTTCTAAATCCCTAACAGAGTTTTCCTCTGCATTTCTGACAAAAGACTGATCTGCTGATGAATTGGACTTTACCTGTTCATTAACTGATACAGTTTTCTCAAATTCCGGCCAAAGAGATAGATTAGTCCCCTCTCCTGCCTTTACACAATCTGCAATAACCCGTATCAACACAAAATATAGAAGGCTAGATCAACGCATTCATGAAAAGCAAGGCCTAACATCGATTATTCGAATGTAGAAGCAAAATATCAATACGAGAAAGTTAAGGTAAGAAAGAAAACCTTTTTGGTCATCATTGGAACATGTCTCATCTGTAGCTCTGGTGAAGACATCATAAGGCTGCATCAAATGGGTTTTTGCGGTCTCATCAAAGGCTTCTGATGAAGAAACCGATCTAAGACTTGCACAATTTACACGACCTCTCCTATGGTTTTTAAGACCGTTTCTTGATCTTCGTGTAACAAAACGTTTGCCTTTCATGCCCTGAACGGTCATCAGATCAAATCTACCAAGTTCCTTGTTGTTAATCACATTTGGTTCTTCTCTTGACAAATCCTCTGTTTCATCTTTAACTCTAGCATTACTTATATCACCACTGTTCTTTCTCACCAGCTTTAACTCAACAAACCGGTTCGAATCATCGTCACTAGTAATCGAACCAAAAGGGATTTTGCTTTTTATCGATCGATCTACAGCTGAGATTCTCTCTGATGCACGATCCACCAGAAGGTCTTCGTGGAGGCATTTCCACATAATGTTTGAATCACCGAAACGTCCATTGTGAAATTTTGGAAGAGAAAAACCTAGAAACCCTAGAAATCTCAACAAGAGATGAATACAAAGAGATGTACATAGAAGCAAATAAGCTATGGAGAGATTCAGAAATGCGCCTATGAGACCAGTGAAATTCCAATAGTGAGTATCTAAACACGGCATTTTGATAAATATATTAGTTTCTATAGCTCTGAGTCCAATCTTCTATGGGAAAAATCAAGAAACATGGATGATGTGTTCGAACTTTGATAGACCCAATTTCAGATTTCTAAAGCAAACATAAAGTTCCATTCCGGAATTTTAGTACTTTATTGTAATGTAAATAACAAGTACGTAAAGCAAACAGAGCTGAACCACAGGTTGATGAATCTCAAATAGGTTACTATTTTTGGACACCATGCATAAATTGGATTTTACCTGAAGTTGAGGTTTAGCATTAGCCAAGTGGGGACAAATGCGAACGTTAATGATGCAATGTCATGTTTACTTTTCTAATATATTTTTAAAAGAATTTTGGTTTTTGGATTTATAACTAAGTTTTAAGTATTTTCGTAAATAATAATAGCTTAAGTGATTTAACTAAAGTTTAATTTTTTTTATCAATAACTAAGGTTTTTTTTTATCAATAACTAAAGTTTTAGTTGTACAAAATGTTTTTTTTTTATTTTTAAAAAGCTTAAATTTTAAACAAACCGAGCTTGGTATCATAAGAAGAGAACCAAGGATTTTGAATTTAGAACGGGTCAACCTGAACCGGATCTAAACCTCTGTGAAACCTCCTGAACCGGTGTGTGAGTCTCGACTGTCGATCGAGTAAAGCCATCGTGGAGAGAGAGAGAGAGAGAGAGAGATATAGAGAGTCCATGGCTCTCGTTCGCTTTATCCCTTCTCGGAAGATTCCACTACTGTCTTGGAGTAGAAATGTTGATCAATTCGAGCTGCCATCTCTTGGATCGCTTCGAGCTTTCTTCTCTACTCAGAAGCTCATAGGCGATGAACCAGTTCTCGTGAGTTTGCTCTCAATCTCTCCTCATTTTCTTCTCCCAGAGTTCTCGTGACTTGGCTAAGTAAAATTAGTGACAAATTGATCAACTTTATTATGCGGTTGTTGATAAGCAATCCGAAAGAGAAAACTTTTCGAAATTCAAAGAACTTTTTTCTGCTCTGAGTTATCTGTTTTGGGTCCTTGTTAAGAATTTCTGTCTCCGTTTTGTGTTTACAGTCTCATACTTCTTTCCAGATCCGATTCTTGATGTTTATCAGATTTCATTTTCATTTGGCGATTTCTGGAATGTGGGACTACTAAATGTTTGGTTCAACTGAAACAGGTTCGAGATTTCATACACACAGCATTATATGATCCCCAAAAAGGCTACTTCTCTCAACGATCCAAATCTGTCGGGGTTTTGGAGAGAAGCATTAAGTTCAACCAGCTTGAAGGTAGGCTTGCTTAAGTGTTAGATACTAGTGTTGAATTTTTGAATTTTAGCCACGCCTCTATACCTGCCCTGAAGGCTGAAACTATAGCAGTATTAGTTCTTACCCTACATGAAATGCATCGTGGTCTTTGTTTGACTAGTTATCATCTCTTTTATGTCTAGTAAGTCGATAGTTTTTCCTGTCCCAGGGAGAAAAGCATACATGAAACTCTTGGAAAAAGTATACAAGCAGAGTGACATTTCTTGGTTTACTCCTGTGGAGCTTTTCAAGGTGAAATTGTCGTGAATGGGTTCTTTGGTGTTTTCTTGGATTAGCCTTCACTTGTTGTACTTATCCTATTTTATGGTGTCAATCATCTCTTGTAGCCTTGGTATGCTCATGGGATTGCAGAAGCTATACTGCGTACCACAAATCTCTCAGTTCCATTAAAGGTTTGCTTCTTTGATCTTCTACATCTGAATATTATTGATTTCATGACAAAACAAAACATGCGATTTTGTCTCTGATTTCTATAGTTATATGAAAAGCTTTGAATCTAGTTAGTCCTGAGCTATCTTTACCTATCAGCCTACACGGAAACTAGTTAGTGATAGCCTAGGCCTTTCACCTGTTCTGTTGTTCATGCTTTGAAAACTTGAAATAGAGAAACCACTGTTTTATTTTGAAAATGGTTGTGTAGTTTAGAATCGTTTGAACACACGATTGAAGGTGGAGAAAGTAATGCCATGAAATTTCTGTTTAAGATCATATGTATTTAGGAAAGTTTTGATATCTGGAAAAAGGAAGATTTTCATCCTGGTTTGTGAGTTAAAGTCTACATTTGCTCTGGTTTTTCCGTTAATCACTTCAAAAATGTGCTTAGATATACGAAATTGGTGGTGGATCGGGCACATGTGCGAAGGGTGTATTGGACTATATAATGTTGAATGCTCCGGAGAGAATCTACAATAACATGAGCTACACGTACGTAAGCTCAGTTTTCCTCTCTTGTCAATTTGAGCTGCGATACAAAATCGTCTTTGGCTAGAACTTCAGCATAGTCAATTCTTATGAAACATGCGACAGTTATATAAACTACATCCTATTTTTAATGTGTATCAGTTCTATAGAAATCAGTCCTTCACTGGCTAAGATTCAAAAGGAAACTGTTGCACAAGTTGGAAGTCATCTATCAAAGTTCCGAGTTGAGTGTCGTGATGCATCTAACCTATCTGGATGGAGTAAGGTTCTTTTTGTTCAGCACAAGGCAGATTCTGGTTTTTAATTTCCTATTGCTATGCTAGAATTAGGTATTGGGTTGAAAATATTAAATTAGTGAGTTATTCGCCAGATTTTGTAATGTAATATTCTTAGAAGATTAAGCTAGTCAGAGAAATCGTTAGTCAAATGAGGTTATGCTACTAGATTGTGCTTGACTTAGCGATAATACTTAGCGATAATACCCAAGTTTTCTTGAGACTACTTATTAATCAAGATGTTTATAAATTAGCCAACCTCATATTACCTATCTGTTACAATGAAGTTATCTATCTGTGCTTATACAGTAAATTTTTAAACAGAGAATGTGGAGCAACAACCGTGCTGGGTGATAATGCTTGAGGTATGTAATTATGTAGATGTAGTTCTATTTGATAGGTAGGTATTTTGTATTGAAGAGGAATCATACGTCTAATATTTGTATTAACTTATACCATTGCAGGTGCTAGATAATCTCCCTCATGATCTTGTCTATTCCAAAAGTCAAGTTTCCCCATGGATGGAAGTCTTGGTTGAAAATAAACCAGAGAGGTACCGAGAATACATGGTTCAAATGAAGTTTATTTCTGCCTTAATTGATCACGATTTCTTATAAACTGTAGCGAAGCACTCTCTGAGCTATACAAGCCTTTAGAAGATCCACTGATCAAGCGCTGCATTGAAATTGTTGAACATGAAGATGATCCGGTTTCAAAACCAAAAGAAATCTGGTCTAAACTATTTCCCAAACCTAGACGTAGTTGGCTTCCGACAGGTTGTTTGGTAAGAGAAAATGGTGTCCACATAATAAAACTGATGTTGTGTTGCTCTGTTCTAATTTTTGAAATTCTAGAAACTGCTAGATGTTTTACATGCAAAGCTGCCAAAGATGTCCCTAATTGCTTCAGATTTTAGCTTCTTGCCCGACGTGAAAGTTCCGGGTGAAAGAGCCCCATTGGTTTCAACAAAGGTCTGTTCTTTTTTCATCTAACTATGCATTGACACCTTTCTTGGTGTTTGTTGACTGTTTAATCACTGAGCCATAGAGATATGGCCAAAGTTTAACGCTATACTTCAAGGTTTAAAACAACAAGAACTTGGTTTGGGTATAGAGAAAGTGTCTTTCTTTTTTTTTTTTTTTTTTTTTTTTGAATAACCGCGGGTCTCTCAAAGGCTTCCTAGGCCCAATGACTAATCCCACGAAGCTGGCAATTCCCCTATGTAAACCTGCCAGTGGCCGTGCCTCGAACCCTAGTGGCGGAAGTCACAGCTGTGACCCCTTTACCACTAGGCCACAAGGCCCGGTTGAGAAAGTGTCTTTCTGCATTGCTTAATGTCAAACTTGTCTCAAGAAAACTTGAGAACAGTTTCACCATACATCCGTGAAGTATAATTATAGTCCCTTTAACAATATTTTTTTTTATTTGCAGAAAGATGGATGTAGCTCAGATTACAGTAGTTATCTGGACGCAAAGGTGCGAGATATCAGCAAATTTCCTTCTTTGACTACTTATTTGGTTTATTCACAAACTTCTAACCTAATTCAACAAACTTCACAATTCATATGTATGTTGGATGATCTTGCAGGGTGATGCTGATATATTTTTTCCAACCGATTTCTGGCTTTTAGAACGAATGGACCATTACTGTTCCGGTTGGAGGAAGATGGAAAAAGATGGGACACCATCGAAGAAAGGAAGGAAAAGGCGAACTCTCACTGTAAAACAAGATTCTCTTTAAAACGTTACAACTAGCGAAGATATTTCTGAAACTTTTTCATTAACAGTCTTTTCTTGTTCTCTTTTGTTTGTAGCTCGATACATCAGCATTCATGGATGAGTTTGGTTTACCTTCAAAGACGAGAACAAAGGACGGATATAACCCCTTACTTGATGACTTCAAGAACACTAAGTTCTATCTTAGTGTCCCAACACACAACACTAAGTAGTAAGCAAAAGATTCATCTCATGGATGTCTGAAATTTGCAGAGAAATGAGAATTTTTTTAAGGGTTTAGAGCTCTGATTATTTCTTTTGTTTTTCAAATGCTTTAATAAGTTTAATCAATTATTCCATTGCCCAACTTTGTCTCGCCAGTTAAATATCGCTATAGACATTGAAGATAGGTAAACTCAAAAACGTAGTTTTTTCTTTTTTCTTTTTGCTTTTAGCGTTTCTGTGTGTTTTGGTTTTCGAACACTCTTTCCAATACCACACCATTCGGTTGTTTGTAACCTAATGGGTTTTGGTTAAACTCAATTTCGTAAGGCATTTAGGCCCAAAATAACAAAGTAAAATAACTATTAGTGGAATCTCATCGCTTCTCTTAGATTTTGTTACAAATTTTGAAATAAGATTCAAATCTATGCTTCATAAAGAAAAAAGTTTGACACAGAGATGTTGAGCTACCTGAATTGTATGAACAATGTCGAGAAACATCTCTCTTCTTCTGCTCTTCTTTGTTTGAAACAAGTTTTGGTATAGAACGTTCCAAAGGCTTACCAGTTAAGATCCTTACCGTTCTAATCCAGTGACCGTGGAATTCGTCTGAGAAGTTGAATCTGGATCTCTGACACTCTCTAACCGGCTGTCAAGAATCTCTATAACATTATTTGGCGGGCATTTATCACTAGACTTCTTCGGATTTATCTGACAGAAACATTCAGGCCATGCATTTGTATAAAACGATTCAGGAGATACACGTTTGTGAGGCCCTCCAAAGTTTGTTTTCAGCATCACTCGTCTCACTGCTTCTTCGAATCCAGCCGTTTTCCCCTTCTCTCTAGCTATGAAAATTGGAGCTAATGCTTTTCTGTCTGGTCTGATTGTGGTACGGAAACCATAGTAAAGGCGATGACCTAAAAGATTGTTGGCGAAATTGCTCGGTCCATCATATGTTGGCATAAAAATGTCGGAGAGGAGACAAACCATGTAATCCACAGCTGATCCTATTAATCCCTGTGACTTTGCTGACAGTTCCTCAGAGGGGTCTACCGAGCTATGGTTGTCAAGCCGTGGAAATAAGGTTCGAAACGGTTTCATGAACCGTTCCCCGCCAAAAAGTTCACCAGCTGCTAAGTATATCCTTGTGGAGTTGT